AAAAAAAAGATAAAGAGAGGAGAGAAGAGAGAAGGAAAAGAAAGAAAAAAAAATAGAGAGAGAGAGAGAGAGAGAGAGAGAGAAGATTGAAGGAAAGAAAGAAAGAAAAAAGAGAGATGAGAAAAAACTAAAGAGAAGGAAAAGAAATAAGAAGAAAAAAGGAGAGAAGAGGAAAGGAAAAGAGAGAAAAAAAAAAGAGAGAGGAGAAAGAAAAAAAAAAGTGGAGAAGAGAGATGGAAAAGAAAGGAAAACAAAAAAGAAAAAGAAACATTATAAATACTAAAAGACATATGATAAAATCACAAAGTTATTTGTAGCATGGTGGATAAGGTGTTTGAGAGAAATGAGGGTGGTAGGGGTTCGAAACCCCTTGTGTGTGTGCTGAAGTCTCCATTTCTCTTCATTTTTTAGCGGGTTAGCGGGTTGACCCGAAACCCACCCGTTTATTAAACGGGTCAAAACGGGTTGACCCGAAATTGACCTGTTTTTTTATCGTGCGGGTTGAACCCGCTAATTTCTCGTGCGGGTTTCGAGTCGTGTATCGGGTCGTGTCCGAAATTGCCACCCCTACGAGTATAGCCGGAGTATAGCCATGCGGCTATACTGGCAATTTTTTCCATAAATAGTATAGCCGCACGCGATACTGGATTTTTTTTTTTTAAAGATTATATCCGCCCGGCTATACTCAGGAATTTTTTAAATAGACACGGTATAGCCGTACGGCTTTACTGGGTCCTTTTTTTTTTCCTTCCCGAAAATAGTATAGCCGCCGGGTGTACTGGCGTCGGTTTTTTTTTAAATTTATTTATAAATAGTATAGCCGGGTGGCTATACTTGGGATTTAAAATAGGGAGCTGTTATTCGGACTCCAAAAAGGTATCGTACAATTTCTCACTCATATTTTGAGAAAGCAGAATCTCAATGACTTTTGTGAAGTATAAATAACAGTTCGCTTAAGATAAATGGTGACCGACTTGGTAACGAATATTGGTGAGAAGAAAAAGAAGACTGATTCGAAAGAGCATCTTTATAATATGACACCAAGCTTTATATCATGTACTGTTTCAAAAGCAACTTGTTCAATCTTCTTCGTTCACTAATCATGAACCTGAAAGTTTTGGCCTATATACGCTGATAACGTCTTGAGAGGTATGATGGCCAAGATATATCGAGATCAAAGTTCCCATCAATCATCATGCATGTTTGATTCTTCCTAATATTGTTTTCTTCATTATGTCTCTTCGTCAAAAGCAACTTTATCAGCCAAAAGATAATGCACCAAAACTTGTATTAAAACACCTTTGGATAGACGCGGAAAAGGAAGTGGATTGAGACATCAAATTCAAGATTCGAAGCCTATTAAGGTCCATTTGCCAAATGCTTACCCACCCATGATACAACTTTATTCGGAGAAATATAACTAAATAAGAGAAAAACACGCAAACTCAATATTATATAGTCCATGAAACTTCATCATTTTTAACTTTTTGATAAAGAAGACACTCAAAGCAATTCCATTATTTTCTGACTTCAACAAAATGAAGGCACTGCAACATGTTACCTCAAAGGTCCTACACCCTAGATAAACTACATGGGGAGAGGGACACAACTTAGGATGTTCCTCCAATGTTTAATTCAACCTTTTGTCTAGTAGCTAGATTATAATAGGGAGTGGTCCTACACCTATAAGCTTAAATTTGAACTCACTCACAATAACTAGTGACAAAAAGGAAAAAGATAAACAATAAAGAAGATGGGTAGTTTTGAAGATTGCGTAAGGTTTGAATAATTGACATGATCTTCCAACCAAATCTAAACGGGTAAGAAAATAGACGTATGTGACACAAATGTGATTCCTCAAAGAACTAAGAGCCACCACAATTCTTGTTTCTTTATGAAGAGACAAATGTTTGTCGATTATTCAATATTAATCAGGTAAGTTCTTATTTGAATCTACTATTAAAAATAACAAACGACGCTTAATATTACGATAGATCTGCACGAAAAATTACACTTATAAATAAAGATCCATTAGTATCTTCTTCCTTTATATCAAAAGCCAATTAAAAGGGGCAGTGAGAAGACACAAACATATTATATCTTTGAAGTTATGGCTAATCGACATCTCATATCCCTTGTTACAACGTTAATTGTCAAAAGACAACCACTAAAAAATATCACATAAACCAGTGTGACCAATGAACTCTTTCCTATATATAAGTTATTCATTTTCGTTCCATTAGCACATAAAGAGTTACCACTTCCAAAACTTACAAATGAAAAGACTTTCTTAAGAGCAAGAAAGAGAAGCTCCAATCATCGATCTGCTCTTTGGTCTTCTTATTATTAATCAGCTAGTGTCGTGTCGTTTAACCTAAAATCTCCCCTTCTTTTTGTCCTTTTATTGGTTTTATCGTTGGCGCTACTTTCTTGCAATGATGCAAAATTCCCAAGTGAGAATCTACCAACAAAAAAGTCCAACTTAGGCCAACTGCTTCTTCTCTCCATGACTTAATCAAAATTCTGCTATACTTTATATTAACATCAAAGCACCCCGAGAGCAACATGCAAAGTGTAGACTCCTTTTCCACGAAAGAAACCGATCTTTTTTTGGGACAAATGAAAGAACCAAACTTTGTGTTTGAAATTTTTTGCTCTGTTCTGCATTAATCCCAAAGCTTGTGTTGTCTTGTACAGTCATAGAGTGTGAGAGGGGGTTTGGGCCCCTTTACATGTCCTTTAACGGCAATGAAGTCAGTGAGTGGTTAAAGTACATAGAAGACAGTGCGTGTCCTCTTCTACTTTCGTGTTTCTTTTGTGTTCTTGTCATCTGGGTAAAGATCAAAAAGCTCCATCATTTGGTTTCTGCTTCTCACAGTGATAATGCGTGTATTTATGCTTCTGGGTTTTGTTTCTTTTGAGAATTTGGATATGGGTTTTGATTGTGGGGTGTGTTGAGGAAGTGTGGGGTTGTAGAATTTCAAATTTTTTGGTTGGGGCAGAGGTATGAAAGAGAAGAGTAATGGGGTTGTGGCTGGGAAAGTTGTGGTGGTTGCTGTTAATGCTTTGAGGGAAATTCAAAAGACTGCTCTGGTGTGGGCTTTGACTCATGTTGTGCAACCTGGCGATTATGTTAAGCTTTTGGCTGTGATTCCTTCTCACACATCAAGTAAGCCAGCCTCCCTGTTTTTCGTGTTTCAACTGACGAAAAGTTGCCCATTTATATATCAAAATGTTAAAGATTCACACAAAAATGCAAATTGCATTGCATGTTCGCTAATAATGCTCCTTGTTTTTTCTGTTTTAACTGAAGAAAAATTGCCAGTTAGTGTTTCAAATTGCATTCCTTTTGGTTAATTAAGGAACTTTCTAGTGTATTGGCAATATGTTCACTCTTCCTCTGTACTTGCCTATTGGGAATTTGAAAATCTTACCGATGGCATGTTAAGTTTGACAGAGGTGCTTCACAAATTTGAAACTTTGATACCAGTTTCAAAATCAATTGAATCACAACCGAGTTGAATTATGTATGAGATGTATCTGATTTTTTTCTCTCTTTCAAATACCATGTGTCCAGGTAAAAAGATATGGGAGTTTGCAAGATTTACTAGTGATTGCACCACTAGTCATCGGAGGTCTCTTTCAGGAACCGTGTCAGATAAGAAGGATGATATTGTGGACTCATGTTCTCAGATGGTGCTCCGGCTCCAAGATGTTTATGATCCAGAGAAGGTTGGTACATCAATTCCGTTTCCAATGGTTTAGTCCTTACATGTTTCATTTCTAATACCAATCCATTCCCATCATATTTTGTTCACAGATAAAGATCAGGATAAAAATTCTCTCTGGCTCACCGTGCGGTGTTGTGGCTGCCGAAGCAAAGAGAGCTCAATCAAACTGGGTTATATTGGACAAGTAATACGTCAATGTAACCTTAATTTCTATTATCACATGCTATAGCCTACAGTTTCTTATTTTAGGGATTGCTGTTTAGATGTGTGATAGCATACAATGGCATCATATGTTGATTTCAGAATGTTAATCCTTAGCCAACACTTATGTGCATGAAAGCTTTTTCTCCAGAATACTGTTTGATTCCCTTATTGCCTGTTGAAGTTATCAATTTTATTCGTGTGCAGACAATTGAAATATGAAAAGAAACACTGCATGGAAAAACTGCAATGCAATGTTGTGATTATGAAACGATCTGGGCCAAAGGTTCTTCGCTTGAATTTGATAACAAAGACAGAACCTGAAGTGCCTTACCCTTCATTGTCTGAATCAGAATCTTCACCAAAACGTCTAAAAAGCAAGTTTGAAGAGTCGAATATGATTAGAGGGCCAACTGTGACTCCTAGAAGTAGTTTTGACCACGAGTCACATCTGACTGCAACTGATATTGGAACATCATCCATATCAAGCTCAGATGTGGGGACTGAACGAGATTTTCTTTCCGAAATTTTGGGGAGGTTAAAGCAAGAGTATCCATCTACTATTGAAGGAAATCAGAATTTGAATGAATCTGATACCGAGACAAATAATGAAAACCAGAGTTCTTACTTCACAAGTTCATGTTGCCAGCCTTGTATGGCAGATTATCTAAGTTCTGGTGGTGAGTTTTCAAGATGTGCGGCGGAAGGTTCAGAGAGACCTTATGATAAGGCTCTGATTTCAACATATGGAGCCTTGCTGGATAAGTTAGCTAACTTGAATCGAGAACCTGATGTTGGGGTCTTGAATTATAGGCTTGATTTGAATTTAAGCAGAAGTGTACGTGAAGCAATTTCATTATCCAAAAATTCACCTCCTAACCCTCCTCCATTGTGCTCCATATGTCAGCACAAGGCACCTGTTTTCGGAAATCCTCCTCGGTGGTTCACCTATGCGGAGCTGGAATTTGCTACAGGTGGATTTTCACGAGCAAATTTCTTGGCTGAAGGTGGGTTTGGTTCTGTGCACAGAGGTGTCTTAGCACATGGTCAGGTTGTTGCTGTCAAGCAATATAAATTGGCTAGTTCTCAAGGTGATCAAGAATTCTGCTCAGAAGTTGAAGTCCTAAGCTGTGCACAGCATCGCAATGTTGTGATGCTGATTGGGTTCTGCGTGGAGGATGGAAGAAGGTTGCTAGTTTATGAATATATTTGCAACGGGTCTTTGGATTCTCATCTATACAGTAAGTTCTCCTCTATCCCTGATTTTTTAATGCATAAAATGAAATGCTACTACTAACGGATCTAAGTTGCAAGCATGCTCTAGTATTTCCTCTTTACTTCAGATGAATGGCAACATTTATGTTCGGTTTTCAAATTACACAGATTAACAGATTGAATGGGTTTACTGATCAAGAATCAGATTGTCAAACAAATGAAAAGGTTATGGTCTTGACGTTAATAAGGACCCTGTTATTTCCAGGATTCTCAGTTGGGTATCATCCTTTTGTCTAAAGTGTGGATATATACATTACCGAGAACACTTTGCTCCACAAGTGCATTACACCTTCTTTACAAACTATAAATGTGCGTATTCACTTCTGTGACCAACCAAGTTAAGGGGATGCTAAAATTTTCAGGACCTCAGAGACATCCGTTAAAATGGTCTGCGCGACAAAGAATTGCAGTTGGAGCAGCTCGAGGGTTGAGATACCTTCACGAAGAGTGTAGAGTGGGTTGCATTGTCCACCGTGATATGCGACCAAACAATATCCTTCTGACGCATGATTTTGAACCCTTGGTATGTCATACACTCCTCATCTCTTACAAAACAAAATTCAACTTCCTACTCCCCTTCACCAGTTGTATGTTGTCCTTGATGAATCACATCTTGTATAAGTAGTGTTTCTCTTCATGTGAAGCCATATGTGCATTGAGGACGCAGCGTTAAATTCCATACATGTATCACTCAGAGTAACTCTTACCCAGTTCTGGGTTTCAGGTTGGAGATTTTGGACTGGCAAGGTGGCAACCAGATGGAGATGTTGGGATGCAAACAAGAGTACTTGGAACATTTGGGTAAGGCCATAGGACTTGAGAAAAAACAAAAAAAGTCTTTCTCATTATACCAAATTACAATTGACAAAGTTTAGACTAAACCAGAAACCTTGCCTCAAATGTAGTTACTTGGCTCCAGAATATGCTCAAAGTGGACAAATCACAGAAAAAGCTGATGTCTATTCCTTCGGGGTAGTTCTAGTGGAGCTTATTACAGGACGGAAAGCTATGGACTTAAACAAGCCTAAAGGCCAACAGTGCCTCACTGAATGGGTAAGCATGAACAAGATAACTCTAATTTGAGATCGTGCAGTATATCAGAGATAGAACATCTGACATCTTTCTTTTTCAAAACATACTAAATAGAGTTTTGATAGGATATTGAGACTTGTGATAAATTATGTTTTACTCTCATATTGGTCATTGCTTACACTCATCTGTGTGGAGCAGGCACGGCCCTTGCTAGAAAAGAACGCCATTTTCGAGCTGTTAGACCCGCGGTTAAGGAGCTGCTATTCGAATCAAGAGGTTTGTAACATGCTGCAATGTGCTTCCTTTTGCATCAGGAGAGACCCTCATTCCAGGCCTCGCATGTCCCAGGTATGAGTTGATGTCATGTCACCCTCACTCACTGCATCTTCATTTTTGCCTGAGAACCACTGAAAATTTCTTGTCCATTTGGTTCCTATAGGTGCTTCGGATTTTGGAAGGCAATGACATCCCCACAAATTCAACAAAGAATTCTTGAAGGAAAGAGGCATTGTGAGAACAATCTGTAAACGATCCACAAGATAGCTATACATTTTTGTTCCAAAAGAACAAAAGAAAGGTATTGTTATACATTCTAGTTAATTAGCTTCTGTTGTAACGTGTAGTTGTAAGAGAGGTAGATATGTCTGTCATCAATTCCTTACAAGTTACAAGTTTACAACCATATGAATGAAGTTGATGAAATTTCATTCCATTCCTCCAGGCCTCACTCGTGTTGTTGCTACGTCAAATTGAATATCTGGAGATTTTGTAGACATATAACATCGTCCTGTTAATATAGTAATTATCAACTGAGTAATGTTCTCTTGCGAAAGAGTTTGATAATAAGATCATATTATAGACACATTTTTCGTGAAGCCAACGCGCTTTAACCATCCTCTTGATCATACACGTATCTGATGGCTCGGTAGTAAGTAACTATGGGACGGGACGGGGATGGACCTGCTTCAAACCAGGTTATCCATAATTCATACATTTTCATATTATTATGGTATTATTTTTTGGATTTAAATTGGAATACCGTGATTTCGATCCGATTCATTGATCACAAGGGGTGATCCTCTGCCACTCATGACACTGCTTGCCTCTGCTATGAAGTCACCTAATGAGTTTTTCTACATGTTTGTTGGTAAATTACCCACCTCTTGATATTATTTTAAGGAATCATTAGATGGTTTTCCATTATTTAATATAAACGTAAAAAATCAAATCCGAGCCATAATAAAACAGATGGGAAATTGTTAAACACTACTGTTCAATACTCATATACAAAACATATCAGAATTTCAAAAAGAAGAGAAGGCAACGGCTCAAAATCATTACTTGCTTGCTTCCATATCACCAGAGATATAACGCAGATTACTGTAAACAGCCAGACGACCGACATCTCTAATCCGGCTGATAAGAGCTTCAGGGGATGAAAAACATCTAGCAAAAACAGTTAAACAGTAGTGTATTATTGCCTTACTATTTATCTTTTGTGCTTTTTCATTTTTACTTCTATGAGTGAGATGACAATAAAACATTCACGTTAAATGTTTGCAATTGCGGCTTCTAAGAACAAATTTTCGTCTATGAAATTCCTCCTGCACAAGATTGTAGAGATTAGTACAGGATGAAAAGTTTCTTCTAACATCAAACACAAGCTTAAACCACCGCATCAAAGTGTTGAAACTAGCAAGTCCTGCAACACAACCACATAGAATGCTTCAAAAACAGAAATGACAAGAGTTTAATAATCATGACTTTATAAGAAAAAAAAATCACAGAGACTGCCTACAATACACCACTGATATATATATAGATTACACATTTTCTAAGTTACAGTGTTTGTCAACTCGCAGTATACTCAACTTAAATCACTCAAACCAACTATGCAATACACTTGCTTTTTTTTTTTTTTGGGGGTCAAATTAATAGATAATTGACTAAATGCAGATCTTCTAAAGTTTCATTAAAAGTTTCCATATTTTTATCACAATTTTCATCGTTTTTATACAATTATTACCAATATCGATACTTTCCCGATATTTCCATGTTTTTTGACCACCGATATATCCGAAACTCCCGATATTTAAGACCTTGGTCTCAACCTTTTGAAACCTAAACATATTACTGATGTCAATTCTGCCATAAGAATAAAATTTTATGGGGACTACTTTAATTAAAATGGACAAGGGCTGTTATTTGGTGCATTAAGCCTTGACTTACTAAAATGAAACACTTATATAAAATAGAAATAGCATTATTTTGTTATTCCGGTCACGACATGACAAGCATCGTAAATTTTTTACGAGACTCTCTTTGGAGCCACCCGTGTTCTTATTAAAAAAACACAACAAAAAAGGTGAATTTGGTGTATTATTTTCGGTAATTATAGTGCGAATGTGGTAAAAATTGGGCCAAAAAAAGTGTGAGAAGCTATAAGCCCGGGAAAGGACCGAAAGGAAAACCAGAGTATGAGTCTGAGTGAGACCACGGGACGAACACCATGTGTGCGCTGGTGAAAGTTGGCAGCAAGCGCTCAGCAAGCGCTTAAGCGCTTGGCTGCCCAGCCTCAACTCTCTTGCCCTGCTTCGCTTCTGCAGCACACTTGCCCCTGGCTCCATTCATCCCACAGCAATCGTTCACCCCAATGCCGTTTTGGGTCAGGTACTTCATTTGCTCCTCCTCACAATTCTCAACTAAAATAGCTACTTACTGATGAAACTGATAGTGTGGTTTTGGCTGTGGTGTTTTTGCGATCAGGGTGTTTCAATTGGTCCCTTTTGTACTGTTGGGTCGACCGTGAAGGTTGGAAATGGCTGCCAATTATACCCGGGAAGCCATATATTCGGAAATTCAAAAGTTGGGGAGCGTTGTGTTTTGATGACGTGAGTTTTGAATACATATAAATTGTTGAAAAGTTGATAAAGGTTTCACTTTTGATTTCAAGTTTTGAACTTTGCATTGTGGTACAAAATTTGTCAGGCAGTGGCGCCGTTGTTGGTGATGATCTTCCAGGCCGAACTTTGCTGGGATGTAATAATATTATTGGACACCATGCTGTGGTTGGTGTCAAATGCCAAGACTTGAAGTACAAGGTCAGTTTCAATGTTTCATTTATGTAACAAAGTCAGCAGGATACACAAAATTTTCATGACCAAATTCCCTAGTTAGTGTTTGTTTTATGATTTAGTCAGGGGATGAATGTTTCCTTGAGGTTGGGGACAACAATGACATCAGGGAGCATACATCAATCCACCGGTCTTCGAAGTCGAGTGATACAACAGTATGTGGATATGATAATTACTTTTTCATTTGTACTTGTGTGTCGTGTGTTAAGTTTCATGCTCTGATACTAGTGTTCTGTGATCAGGTTATTGGGAATAATAATCTTATCATGGGTTCTTGTCATATTGCCCACGATTGCAAGATTGGAAACAACATCATTTTTGCAAATAATACCCTTTTAGCAGGCCATGTTGTGGTGGAAGTAAGCCCTTACGCTTTATTTGGATTGTGAGATTTCAAATTTCAGGATAGTGGTTGATGTTTTGTAGAAAGATATTTTCTTTCACTCCAAGAAATATATCTGAGATGTCCGTTATATTTTTTCAAATCAACAATGATACATTCTATCTTTGCATTTCAAATCCCTTCTCTTTGCATTTCAAATGTAATTTATATACGTCTATCCTACTTGCTGTATCTGATATATAGTCATGTTTCAAATGTAGGATTATGCTCACACTGCAGGGGCTGTAGTTGTTCACCAGTTCTGCCATGTTGGTTCTTTCTCTTTTATTGGTGGTGGCTCCGTGGTATGACATGATCTTACTCTTTACCGTCTGTCATTTACACTATAATTTCAATAGCTTATGTATCAAGGGAACCTGCACAATTTCTCTTGTCTATTTATGAGTGTAAGCCATGAATTAACTATAAATTTCCCACTGTGCAATATTGATTTTACATTCTTATTTTATTTGCCTGAAGATTGCACAGGATGTTCCAAAGTACATGATGGTTGCAGGAGAAAGAGCTGAACTTCGTGGTTTAAATCTTGAAGGTCTACGACGTCATGGTTTCACAGCCCAAGAGGTTTGCGTTAAATTTTTTTTCAGTTGCACTTTTTACTTCCTTATGTTAAATTGAATGTCTAAAAGAGCTTTTATTCCTCTGGGCAAGGATCTAGATCAGAAGCCTGCGAACAGCTTACCAAAAAATATTCATGCCTGCTGAAATTTCCAAGGGTTTCGATGAACGTCTGGCTGACATGGTATCATATTCAACCAAATCCCTCACCCTCTCCATGATATAATTTTAAATCGTTGGTCAATGGTGTTAAATTCATTTTGCAGGAGATGCGTGATGAATTGGCTCATATATCTGTAGTTTGTTCCATGGTGCAATCTATCCGTGACTCTTTTGAAGGAAAACGACGTGGAATATGTAAATTCAGACATTGGAATGGCTCTTAAAAACATGCAATAGGTCAGTTTCTTTATTCCACAAAACTGTTATTCTATTTTCAGAATCAAGTACGATAACTCTTTACAGAAAATTATATAATCTAAATCCAAAAGCTGACATGCCATATTTTACCAATATCCATATCCAAGCTTCCTAGGTAGAGAAAGAGAGATTTCCCTATGAATTGTTGTAGTTAATGTGGTTTTTATTTCTTCTTTTTGCAGTGATCTAACTGCTATTGTCTTTACAAAATGGCTGAGCATGTGGACTAATTTGTTGTATGAAGACCTTACCAGGCGGTTCGTTGTGTTGTAATGAAGATTTTCTATTGGGCCAGTTCTCATTGTTTGATAAAAGAATACTTTGGTGAAAGGATGTAATACAGAGAGAAGTTGCAGATGCATAACGTAGTGTGTAGAAGTATTAATCTTTTCAACTTGTGGGTTGTTCCAAGGAAATTACTTGTGCAATGTCTTTGAAGTCAGAAACAAACATTTTTTAAGTTTTGTGCTTCTTGATAATGTTGACCTTGAAGCACATGCTTTTTGTACAAGCAGACTGAACCTCTCCAAATTCAGAGAAAATCCTAGGAATTTGATTGTTCTGGGTTTTCAATTACATGATGGATTTTTTTATTTCTTATTTATCCTCTGTGATTACCTGAATAATGTATTAACTGAGGTATTCTAGAAGTTTGCTTCTTCGAAAAGCAAATCAATAAAATATATATGTTACAAGGCAATCTTTGAAATTTTCTTTGTTCTCGAAGTCCATTGGTTTCCTTCTTCATTTGAATGTTTAGAATGGCAATGAATCAATTCAAGGTCACTAAAAGGCATAATGACTTTGATTTAAAAACTGTTGTTCTTTGTTCAAGCTTGTGATAACTTTGACTACATAATTGGTTGCTTCAGGGACTGAAACAAATCAGAGAATTTTCCAACTATTGAATACTTTTCTTCATGTCTTATACTGGGGGGGAATGTATATCCACCGTAAGATATGAACAAGATTTCATATACAGGGCAAATTAATAATTATGTACTCCGCACTATGCATCCAGGTTCGAATCTCCCTTCTCGTAGTTTAGATTAGTTTAAAGTATAATATCGCTTGTATAAAAAAAAAACAAAAAAAATTATAATTTTCTGATGTATAGGCTCCATATGAGCCATTCATTTTCAATTCCTGATACTCAATCCACCAGCTCAGGATAAATTCCTTGTGATTGTGATTATAAGAAAAGCACTGATGAAATTGCTGACCAATTTAAATTGGCCACTCTATCAAGTACCAGGAGAATCATATGTGCTACAATTGACTTCAATTTTCAAAACCAGAGGCTTTGTTCAAAGAATGATAAAAACTTTTTTCAGTGCGGTCCAAATTGCTTTGATTTTCC